CACTCCTGCGCAGACCACCGAAGAGGCAGGATATAACCTGCTCAGCTGGAAAAGGTACCAAGCCATACGGCTAATATAGATCAGAATAATGGGTTAAGATGAGTCATAAGAACTAATAAGTAGCCTGAGCTAATGGGCCAATCAGTTTATAATCTTATAGTGTCCTGTGCGTGATTTTTCTTTGGGGTTTGCCAACTGTGGGGTACTGGGTGGGACAGAAACCCCAACAAGACAACCCTTCATGTTACATATGGCACCCAACATGGATAACTGAATCTACAGAAAGCTTGAGAAAGCTTGGAAAAGAATAGAGTAAAGCATATTTTCTTGGTAGCAGCAATTTCTTGGGTCTGCTCTGCTTGCTAGAGGCAAGCAAGCACTCTCATCTAAGAGAGGCTTCTTGACTCAGCTTCAGCTGCAAAACTTTGCAGCTCCTTTAAGAGGTCCTGCCACGAAACACTTAAATGGTGCTGATGAAAAGCTGAATGCATGCTTTTCGGGTTTTCAGCTATAGCAGGAAAAAAGCTGCACTTTTTTAAAATGCCAGCTTCCTGGGCCGTCCTGCCAGGGCAAACTCTGACTCTTTCAGGCAGGCAGTCTGACTGAGTGTGGTCTGTGAGAAGAATGCTACAGCTTGCTTGCTGGCAAGGACCTTGAAACGCCATAGAGTTGTGGCAGTGAACACAGCTCTGGCTGGTATCTCAGCCATGAGGCTGGAAAGCTAAAGAATGGGCTGGATCTAACCGTCAAAGCTATGGCTTTAGTCCTACCCATTGAAGACTCGTGTGGTGAGAAAAAGAGAGATATACAGTAAAGAGAGATTCAAAGAGGAAGAAAACCTCTAAATGGTTTACAGTGTGTTAAAAATATATGCAGGCTAAAAGTTAAAGTTCTTAAAGTAAAGAAAGAAAGAGAGTAGTTGGGAGTGGTGGTACACATCTTTAATCTCAACACTTCGGAGGCAGAGGTAAATTGAACTCTGAGACTTTAAGGGGTAGTTGACCTCTGTGACTTCAAGGTGTGGTAACACACACCTTTAATCCCAATGCCTGGGAGGCAGAGACAGACAGATCTCTGTGAGTTCAAGGTGTGGTAGCATACACCTTTAATCCCAGCACTGGGGAGGGAGAGACAGGAGGATCTCTGTGAGTTCAAGGACAGCCTGGTCTACAGAGTTATTCCAGGACAAAGATATATACAGAGAACCTGTCTCAAAAAGCCAAAAGTTAAAAGTAAAATTAAAAGAAATAGGGGTTGAAATAAAGCCGCATAAAGATGGAAAATACACAGAGAATCTTGATACTGTATGCTATTATGCTCTCTTCGAATTGCTTGATTGTTGAGGAAGGGGCAACAGCTGCTAAAAGACTTTTGTTTATAAATGCTGCTGAACTAACCCAAGATAGGAATTTTGAAAATACCTTGGCTTCAAAACTGAATTCAAAAGGTATGTTACTTTGGAGAAGAGATTTTGCTTTTGCTTCCACAGAAAATGAGAGTCTGTGGATTCATTCTGAGTTAAGAAAAATCAGGTTCAAAAAAGGAAGACCACCTGAGAAATCTCTGATAGAAACAGATGGCCCAGATGACAGAGTTCTTCATCCAGAACAGGTTCAAGACTGCTGCCTGAGATGATCAAGACTCACAGGATACTCCAGTCAGGACTTGATTATAACTCTAAATTTTCTTTAGGTCTCCATAAGATCATCAGCGCCCCAACCAGCAGGAAGTAGCCTGAAATACTACGCCCACATTCCCAACAAATGGACTATGGGTATTTTCCTTTGTTTAAAAAAAAAGAGGGAAATGGTGTGGGAGAATTCTCTGTATTCTGTCAATCATATTTTAATAAAATGCTGATTGGCCAGGCAGGCAGTATAGGTGGGAAAGCTAGACAAGAAGTAGGGGTAGAGAAAAGAGACTGGGAGTATTCTGGGAAGCAGGAAGCTCCCTCTGCCACTCCTGCGCAGACCACCAAAGAGGCAGGATGTAACCTGCCCAGCTGAAAAAGGTACCAAGTCATATGGCTAATATAGATCAGAATAATGGGTTAAGATAAGTCATAAGAACTAATAAGTAGCCTGAACTAATGGGTCAATCAGTTTATAATCTTATGGAGTCCTGTGTGTGATTTTTCTTTGGGGTTTGCCGGTTGTGGGGTACTGGGTGGGACAGAAACTCCAACAAGCCAGCCCTTCATGTTACAGCAGGAGAAGGAATGGAATGAGAAAGCAGACGGAGGGGACCCAGGCCCAGAAAGACCAGCATTCCACTGACTCTCCCTCACTCTTGAATCCTGGCTTCGAGGCTCGAATTCATGTTAAATTTGGAGCATCTGCAGAGGCCATGAAACTGAACAGGGAGTATTATGGAGAGGAAGCCTGAGCAGTGGGGAGGGGTGCTGGGAGTGAGAAGGTTTTAGCAGGGATGGAGTGAAGAAGAGGAGGGATGTGTGTAGGAGGCAAGTTTATGAAAGGTGTAAAAAATATGGAAACTCACTAATTTGTAAACCAATCACAAGATACATTGTTTTGTTTATTTATGTTTTAAATTGATCCAAAGGAGGTACCCTGCAAGGATGGATAGGGCTACTTCTAGAAGCCATGGTTGTTAAACAAAAATTCAGGGCCAGCAGTGAGATACCCACCACCCACCCCTGTGGATTAGAGAGTCACTGGAAATCCTTAAAACAATATAAGCCTCTGCATGTCCTCTCGGTTGTTCGTAGCACTAGTTGAGAAAACTCAGTTGCTGAAGACACCACACATTGGGACTGCAAGATCCAGAGAAGCCAAGCTGGAACTGAACTGGAAGCTTTCTCCCTGCTTGCTAGTTTCTGCAATGCCTGAAGGTGCCATGCAGGATGCTAGGGCACAAAGACATTAGCGGTCTTACTCTGCTGTGAACCCTGTGAACTACAAACACAGCCTGCCAGGCAAGATGTGCATAGCAGCATGATTAATTTTTTATACAAAACACAAAAATCCTGTATGAGTAGAAGCCACAGGAGGTACTCATAACCAGCACTGTAAACCTGATCACAACCCATGGCCCAGCAGGGCATAGGTTCTAGCAGGGTGAATATGCTGCCATTGCTTGGCTAAATGAACATAGTTCAAACTGCCTTCTAGATACTGATGTTTATCCTCATAGATCAGTGCTGGCCTCAGCCCTGGTCAGAGAAGCTTCCATCTGCCGTGAGAACTGGTTAATGCAGAGACTCCAAACTGGTCAAATGCCCATAGTAAGTGACTCTTGAGTGTTTATCCCTGTGAGGTTTCAGAAACCAGGGACAGAGTGGCTAACTGAGGTTCCTATTAACATATCAAAGCAGACACTGGTCCCTCTCCCAGCATCACTCAGTACCTGTGGCTCCTCCCAGCTCTCCCAG